AGAAAATTCCAATTAGTAGAGAAATTAATTTGAAAAATTACCTTGACGTTTCGATAGCTATTTTCTGCTATCGTTATCAAAAGAACCTAAATGAATATTGATAACGATCTTTTTAAAGACAAAAATTTTTGAGGCGAAATACCCAAAAAGAAGTTTGTAAAAAAATGAATCCGCCTCAACAATATAGAACTTATCTACAACTGAGGCATTATTTGCTATAATGCCTCAATAATAAACGATCGCTTTGAGCAATGGGTCGTCGTGCACTTCTTTCCAGTCCCACCAAAAGCACAAATAAACATTATTTGATTCAACTTTTCACTTTGTACCAATTGAACTTATATTTTCTTTAGACATCGTACGTTTCTTTCCAAGTCGGTTTGCGCCAACTAGACTTCCCAATAACATTAATTCCCCTCTTTTAAAATAACTTATTGTTAAATAACAGTTAAGGTCAATTTGCTTTTTTATTTATTGAAAGCAAACTGCTATTAAATGTGCATTTATAAAGATATTACACACGCGTTTCCTAAGGCTTTGGAGCCGCTTGCTACATCGGAAACAAAAAAAAAACAAAACTAGCCAAACTCACTTGGTCGAACTTGACTTTGCGGAACTTTGATCTCTCTGCACTCTTCCCATATTTGCCTTTATTAATTAATAGTACTTTTCAACTGCCTAACTTGAATCTTTCGGTTCTTTAGCTAGCACAGATAGAAGTAATGCCATTACATAAAGCAATTATAAAACCCTCCCTTACCCAATAAATCCGGACTTCTGCTAAAAGTTCTATTCCGAATTAATTTAGCGAATTTAAATAGCCATTCACAACTTTCGATTTAATACTCTGGCTTTTGCCATTGGAGCAGCACTTTACTTTAAATTATAGGATTCTCGAAACCAAGTTTTTGAATTAGTTTCAAACAAATGGCTCCGGCTCACAGACATATCTGGCACAGTAAATTAGCTCTCGTTGGGGAATGTAAGTAACTTGAACGCTTCAAAGCAAAAGATGAGAGACGTAGTTAGGTGGTTAATTTGGCGGCTCGAGAGATTCACCAACCAAGTAAGAAATGTTGAATTGCGAATAAACTGCTAGTGCACGCTTCTCTTAAAATGTAAGAACCGCATTTAAATGAAGACAATTTGTGCATAGTTTCGAGTAGAGTGTATAAGATAGTTCGTCTAAATCCTATTAAACTGCGAATAATGGAAAATCTGCATGTTTTGAAATCCTATTTTACACGACTTAAATAAAAAACGTAACAAAAAAATCTGTTGCTTAACATAAGAGACCGAACATAACTATGCATGCGGCCAAAATAAAAAATCACTTTGGAACGACGTTCATAACTGGAGTAAAACTTTTCCAGCCAACAGGTAGAAACAGAATCAGCATTCAATAAGATTAGTGTCTTTTCTCTAAGCTGCAAAATCTCTAAAGCAAAGAACCAAGCACCCGCATTAAATTGAAGTTCCAATAAAGAAGAAAACTAGACTATCCTTACATCAACAACTGTTACTTTTTAGAAGTTCCTGGGAAGTATAATACTTGCTAGTCTGCACTTGCTCTCTGGGGAGACGCAATGTGATTCCTGAAGCACAAATACGTTTGGACAAGATATTTTTTTACTGTTTTGGCTGCCTGTAGCAATTTTCAAATATTATAATACAAAAAAATTGAGCTAATGTACTACTCATATTTTAAACCACAAACCTAAAGCAGAGCGTTTAATTATACATAAAATTAGAAAAATATTTTCTTAGAAATTTTCCAATTTTCGTTTGTCTTAAATAAAACTTGATCATTTTGTAACACTAGAGCCGCTGATTTGTTTTCTTCACTATTTACAATTGCAGACTGCATAACCGGGTTTTGATAATTGCAAAATCTATTATTTCCTCCTTCTAAGAACCTTCTTTATGGATCACTATCAAATTTTAAGTTTTATTTAAATAGAATGCAGTTGCTAACACCTGCATGAAGAGATAGAGCAGCGAGAAAACGACGTAGAAAATAACAAAACTTTTGTGTCTTACTTAAAGAAATATTAAGAGTCATTTTCCCTCGTTAATAATTGATTTTTTTTTGTATATTGTTCTGTGGTCTATTGAGATACAGTCAAAGAAATCCGTTGGTTAATCATTGAAACATCCAACAGTCATCGAAACTAATAAAAATGAATGCAGGATTTCAATTCACGCATAAAAATATTCCACAACACGATCATACAAAATGTGTATGCAAAAAATTCTTAACATGTATTACAAAAAAATATTCGCAAACACACCCAATTAGAAGGTTTGTTCTTCTTGAAATTCGGCTCTCTGAAGCTCGAACACTTCTGGAGAACCCAACACGAAACGAAACATTTAAACATACAGACAACATCTTCAGTTTATTTTTCTGTTGAATGTGTTGCTTCAGACAATTAAAAAACACAGAATGGTGAAAGAAAGAATTAGAAAGGATTTTAAAAATGAAATTGTAACAGTTTGAACAGTTACCTTCCTTCTGTAATATTTGGATCTATTTGGTGATTCCTCTAATTTGCTTTGAAAAAATTGATTTTCATTAAGATTAATGTTTTAATTCGTGTTTATAATCATGTTGAACGAAGCCCTAAAGGGCTGGGACTTCATCCAGAAGCCCGGATGAAAAATCTGAATAATGTCAATAGAATTGCCTTTTCACACTGTTTATTAAAAATGTACTTAAGGCATCTTTTACTTTCTCATGGCCTGTAAAAAAATCCCCATCTTTGCGGTTTTCCAAGCGGTAAACCATGTTTTAGCGCGCCCTTTGAGGGCCTGTTCAAAGCTGATTTGGCTTTTATAAAATGGCGCTTTTTACATGGAAACTTGCAGGGGATTGTTGCGAAGAACGAGGGTTAGATAAAAGCTTTTTTGGCAGTTGTCGGCTGTATTCGGTGAATCTAAACTGTTGGACGTGACGCGATTTTATTTCAGGACTTTTCTACATATGTTTACAAGGGTTTATTTTAGTGCGCCAAATATCGTTTTCAAGCAATATTTTCAACGTCCACCGCTTTTTATTTGTATTTTGACAATTATTGGGTATTTTAATTCAATGATTTAGTAGCGAAATTTACAAGGAATTTGGATTATGTTTTATGAAAAGTGGAAAGCAAATTTATATCCTTATAAAGTAATTGAGAAAACTTAGAATTCTAAATCGTCCATGTTATATCCATGCGATTAATATGTCAAGTGGAAATGTGTACTTTTTTTCCAGACATGAGTATAAGTTAAAGGTAGCAGCAAAAGTGACCGAAATATATAAAGAAAAGGTAAAACGCAACTAGTTGGTTGTGTAAACCTTTGTGAATAAGACGACTTATTATTGTCTCAAAATACTTTAACTGATTTCAATTACAACGTTTATATAGAGATAGAGAGGAATAATCATGGAAACAATATTTTCACCATTTTCAGCAACTATCGTTTATCATTGATGAAATAACTATTAAGTTTTTTGAAAATTATGGGTATTCGTTGGGGTGAAACACTGCAAAAGTATTGAATTTTTTCACCAAACGGTTGGGCTGGTAATGGCCATTGTGCGCAAAAGAAAACAATCCATTTTCTCACTTTAAGGTTTGGAGTTCTAATTAACGGGCGAATGAAAGAAGATTTCTAGAACTGATGAACAAAAGAGTGTAATCAAATAACTTTTCAAGATAGTGTAGTCGATATTTAACAATTTGTTGATCAAGTATCGCCATGAAAAATCCAACAAAATTAATTAAATCGGGTGATCTTGGCGGTCATTTTATCGACTCTTTTCTTCCAGTCCTGAGAATACCTCACTTAACTAGTGCCTCGTTCAAGTAAGTTTTAATATTTACTGATTTTTTTTCATAGCTGGTAAGTTTAGGTGTAGGATATGCCTAACAAAAAATTCAGAATTTATGCCGAAAAATTAAATAAAAAAGCAGATGCGTTTATTTTAAATTATTAAGTTTATAGACGTAAAAAGCTACCCTTTAAAGCTAGCCTTTAAACATGTATTTTCCATCGCAACTTTAATAAATATATCGTAACTCAATTTTGAAAAAGAACCAAAGAAACAAAGGACCTTTTAAAAAAGCTTTCTAAACATCGATTCTGACTTTTCCCCAAAAACGAAAAGTGATAACAGAAGAACAAATGCTACTACAAAATGTTGTGACAATAACGCATTCTACAACAGTACAAATGCGTCCGACTTTAGATGGCTTGGAAGAGTCCACAAAATAAAGGAAAAATGAATAGTTGGTAAAGAGCTGCTTGCTTAGTTAGATTGGTCTTTAAAATGTTAGTTTTATGTTTTCTTGTCTTGAAAAATGCTGCAATATACAATGTGGAAGAAATTCCGCTCGATGTAGTCAAAAAAGTGCGGGGTTTGTTGAGGAAAAAATTTCAATATTCTTCTATAGAGAAAGAAACGGTAGTGGACCGTCTAAAAGAGAAACCGTATAATAGAGAACCCTCTTGGAGGAGTGCGAGAACTTTTAATAGGCAAACTTTTTAAGGCACCATTAGATCTAAGTTGCCATTAAAAAAGTTATGGTATCTGGGGATCGAGGGGTTGTAATTAAGGGACGAATATTTAGATTCGTTTATAAAAAATAGAATTTTACGCTCAGCACTTGAATAAACCTGTATAATCTTTATACTCACGCCTATAAAGTGTTTGTTTTAGGTTATAGCCTACACATGAGTGACTCAGTTAATTTTCAGAAGTTGGCACAGTGTTTCCGAAATAGCTTGGTGAGCCAACCCAGCGCACCGGCACAGTAACTCACCGGTGCAGTTGCGTTGTCCCCATTTGATAAAATGTTGCTCATAAAATGGGCTGATTTTTTTTGTAAGATATTGAAATTCCCGGGCCTCGGAAAGCTTTAATCCGCCCCTGAGTTGAAGCTAAGCGTAATTAAAAGTGCGGCACAGTGAGACGCGATGAGTTGTAGCGACAAACTCAGAAACAAAAAATGCTTTACAAGTTCAGAGTTGTGCGTTCAGTAAAGAAGAATCCGCTCTAAATGTCGTCAACATTTCCTCAAACCTTAAGAAATTCATACAAATCACATAAAATCGTAAATTTAGTGCGCTTCGTACATGTTGAAAGTGAACGCTTTTACGCAACTGCATACTGCTTAATAAAAAATTCCATGTTTCAAAGTAAAGCCAGTACAAACTTGAAAGATTGATATTATGTAGAAGACGTTTTTTTAATTAAATTTTGGGGTAAACTTGCACCTAAATGTCTGATATAAATTTTGTGTGACTCTTTGAGACAAATCGACCAGAATTTACTCACGAACGTTGGTCTAACTGAACCAAATTACCAATTTTCTATTCGATGATATAAAAATGAACTATGTGGCTCAAATGGTTCTTGAGCAACGTCAGAAAGGGTGGCGTCATGGTTCAGTCGTTTTCGCAATAAAAAAAAACATTCAAAACTAACACTCTTGACTTTTTTAACAGAAAAACCTAAAACTGGAACCCTTATTTGCATATCTGAAAAGGTTTTTTGGGGCCAAGTTTCAGATGAGCTTGATCTAAATACAAAGCCGCACAAAATATTCCCAAAGTTTAAAAATTTCGTGTGAAATCGGTTTTTTTCAATGGTTTAATCGGAACCAAATCCACACAATCACTAAGCTGATGCTCTTTGAATTGAATACTGGAACCCAAATGCCCACATCTGAAGCGGTTTTTGGTTTTTTAGTGAACAGCTTCAGATGAGCCTGATGTAAAAATACAAAGCCGCCTCAAATATTCCCAAAGTTTACAAATTTGCTACAAAAAAACCAATGGCTCAATCGATACTAAATCCACCCTACGAGTCAGTTAATAAACATGGGACTACATTTTCTACATCTGTGTGGCAACCAGGGGCAAAGCAATGCTGAACTTACCGCAAGCTGCGTAATAACACCTGGAAAGAAACAAGAAAATGTGTTCAGTACAGCACGAAATCTGTCCAAATCCAAACTTATTTGAAATCAGCAAAGCACAAAGAGAGAAATATAAAGAATCCATATAACTTCTGTTGCTTGCCGGAAAATTACACTCAGTTTAAGCTACAACCGGCGCTTTCTGTAAGCGGGGCCCCATCCTCCATTTTCCATCTATAAATGCCACACTACACTTGCCATAAGGGCCATAATTATTTTATATTTCTCATCTAAGAACCAGATTCATACGAAACAAAGGAGTATCGACCGATTTCGTCTACAGTCGGTAGCAAACTGATTATTCATAAACCTTTTCCAAGAAAAAAGACTCCGAAATACAGAATAAACATGAACATTTAATGATTTGCTTCATTGCTCTGCTCTTGCTTGGCAGTTTTGCCGATTTCAGTTTGTATATTGTTGACGATTTTGTAGAAAGTATCTGATGGCATTACAATATTTCCAAAGGCAAGTTTTACATTCCCACTTAACGAAAGTCAACAACTAAACGAAAAACGCTTCAAGCTCCGATCATTCCCTAATTTCATTTTAAATTTAGAGACCATTTATATTTACCTGGATTGCATTGAGCTGCAGTGATTAATGCATAACAGCAAAATAAAAATTAATAACCGAATGAATTTTCTTTCTCTAAAATTATTGACTAAACAAAAAACCACGAAGAAATCACTTAAAAATGAAACTGTTGCTCAATTTCCGAGCGATCTATCATCACTCCAAACCAACGAAATTTCAGCATATTAAAAATATTCTTTAAAAATTCGGATTTCAAGAGAGAGAACATTTAGACATTCTTTAGAGAAAGTTACATATTGAAAGTGAGTTAGGTAAGTCATACCGTTGGAAACCCAGATTAACCGTTTTTCTCTATCTCGTAGCAATCTTTCGTTGACTTTCTCCCACGGATGTTTCACGTTCTCATGCGGAAAAATATAGGAAACGCTCCATTGAAGCCAATTTGAGAGGCATTTTAACGATTTCACCCAACTCGAAACATCTGATACTGCAAATAATGCTGTAAATAATATGTTAAATTGGCCATATTAGTTGGAAATATTCGATTCTGACTTTCCACACTAATGGTAGCCTCAATAATGAAAATTTCCATATGTAAGGCAATTTTGTATTTCGTGTGTTTTTTATAACGCCCTCTACTCTGAAAGCCGGTTCTGTTAGCTATTCCATTTGATGCATTTTCGAAAACTCAGTTCAGAATCATTATGGTTATCAACAGTGTTTGTAAAAGTTGCTACTGTTGGATTTTGTTTCCAATTCGGTCTAAGTACCTATAAAAATCCGGCTTTAATTGACTCAGTTCATTTTATTATTCATGAATGGTTTCCTTTCCAGAATATGCAGTCCACGCCAATGTTGAGTCCCCAAAGTGCGGACTCAACACCGAAACGAGATTGGAAACAGAGACTCAGCCTTAGGGACCACCGGAAACGAGATACGGTAAAGGCATGGTTAACTTAATATCACTAATGTAATTCAATTGAACAGTGTTATGGTTGACATGGAAATTTTCACTTTTCTATGTTTCCGTTGCATAATACAAAAGGTTTTTTCAATTAAGACATTAAAAAGACCGAGATTAACGAGGGAAGCTGACCTTAACTGCCTTGATCACATGCCACAAAAATGTCGTTTGGTATCGATTGGGGTAAAATCAAAATGAATGTTTAACATATATTTAATTTCAAATATCATGTGCTTAAGATTCGGTGGAACAAATCAAATCCGAGCAACATATTCTCTTTTCACATAATTCAGGAAATCACTTTTAGGCGAATTCGTTTTATTTAGGTATATCAAAAAACAATCTCTATATAGCAACGAAAATCCATTTTAACATTATGGGCTTATTAAAATTATTTTATATTATGTTTGTGTATATTTCTTCTGTTATTCTTGTTTTACCTTTACCTATATTTATTTATCTTAATCTAGTTGGGATTTTCTTTGAAATTCAAAAAAATATGTTTAAAGAAATTATCGGTTTTTAATTAACCTGTGGCCTGTTTCATTTTGGCAGTGAATTATACGTTTGCTATTTCTCTGCGTCGTATATTTTAAGAGATTTCGAAACACACTGCGTTATTTATCAATTTTTCTTGTATTATTATATTTCTGTTGGGTCTTTCAAGCAGTTTAGCTGGTTATAATCTACTTTACTTTACTCCGTCGCGCTACAGCCCCTGGTGGGCCTTGGCTGAGGCAACAATTTTCCTCCATCTGTCCCGGTCGTCCATAACTTCTAGACCATTCTCGATGCCCATTTACCGGAGGTCAGATGCTATATTATCACGCCACCTTAATCTCGGTCGTCCATATAGTCGCCTTTCTTCTGGTTCTCTGTTCCATATCAAGCGGACAATTCAGGACAGGTGCCCTGTCCATCTCAACATTTGTGCCTTTATGAAGTTAATCAGTTCTGGCTGGTTGTATATTTGTTTTAGTTATCCATTTGTTTTGATAGTTGAGTTTAGATTTTGGCATCTCTTACTACTTTATCCAATGCGATGTTAAAAAGCGTGGGTGATAGTGCGTTGTTTAAGGCCTGTGTTCACCTGACACACATCTGAGAAATCATCACCAATCTTTACTCTGCACCTATAGCTCTCCACACAAGCTCTGGTTGTTGTGATCAGCTTAGGTGGGAGCCAGACTCCGCCATTCGATGCCATGTTTTGACCCTTTTTACGCTATCGCATGCCTGCTGGAAATCTATAAATAACTGGTGGAGATATTGATTGAATTCCCAGCTCTTCTCTAATAATTGCCTAAAGGTAAACATCTGGTCCGTTCTTGACCTATTTGATTTGAGACCGCACTGGTAGTCTGCCAATATTTTTTCGGTGAAGGAGGTTAGTCTTAGAAGAACTAAGTTCGATAGGACTTGCCTCTGTAATTTTTGCAGACCGTTCTATCGCCTTTGTTGTGAATCGGTATCATGATACTCTTCTTCCAGTCATCAGAGATAGCTTCTTTTTTCGATATGGTTTTAGTGAGGTTTTGTACTTGTGTTATGATAGTATCACCACCATATTTAAGAAGTTCGGCTGTAATTAGATTTCCGCCAGGGGCTTTATTATTTTTTATGTTTTTTTTGCTTTGTAACTTTCTCTTCAGAAGGGATCTCATTGGATGCACTGACCAGATCCAGTGCTTCCCCCTCTTCACCAGTTCCTCCATTGAGTAAATGATGGAAATAGTTTTTCCACGTTTGCAATATTTCTACATTGTCAGTTACTAGATCTCCATTTTCCTTCTGTAAGATATTATCGGCCCTGGGTGTGATTCCTGCTTTTGCAGAATGTAATTTTTGGTAGACTGTTCTGGTATTATTTTTCCTTCCTTCTTCTGGTGTAATTAATTCTGTTTTGCCATTCTCTCTTTTTTCTTCTCGACAGTTGTTTTCCTGGTCTCGTCTGTGGGACTTTTGAGCATTTTGAGTCTAGCAGTATTTCTCGTCTCCAGATCATCTTAGCAATCTTCATCATAAGAGTGGTTTTTCTGTTGCCTCCTGGGTTTCTCCCCTACCACATTTATTTCTAGATGCCTCTGTAATTGTTGCAGATAAACTTCCAATGCACCTCCATATCCATACCAGTTCTTCCTGAACTGTTGCCATGTTCGAATATTTGCACTAAAATATCTAACTTCGCAGTAGTCAATTTTTCTGATTTTATCTGCATTTATATCATGCAATATACTTAAAAACCATTTAACTGAAAAAACGGTGTCTTTTGCAAAGAAAAATAGAAAAAACGCAGGATTTTTAATCGCCAATCTTGGTAACTTTAAATATTAGTCTAGCATAAATTAGGTTCCTCGGAAATTTTCTTTAGCTACTGTTATCTAATTGGAAATTACGATTTTTGATTATATTCGTTTATCAGCCTGATATTTACCTGATGGAATGAAATGTTGAGTTAACTGTTTTAAATGGCAAATAACTATGAACTATAGTTATCATTATTAATTCAGCGATAATTCTGACTGAATTAAGACAGTAAATATATTAACAGCCTATTGCTTACAAATGTACAAATATTTATTACTATCAGGTAAGTTGAAGATTCTAGAAAAGTCCTATCCAAATTACTAATCCTATCTATTGAACTTTCTATATTGAACACGAAACGTTCTGAATCTCTCTAACTGTAAACTAATTTTATTTATTTATTAACCCTTATTACTTAGATTCCGTTAAGTGTAAAATCTTCCAATTTTCGACTAATTACAGGTCAAATCCAAATTGTTTCTTCCACAACTAACCTACGTAATTATTCAAAAGGTCGCCCTGGGTAAACTGAGATTGCTGGAATTTTCAAGCGTGAATGAGAAAAGGATTAAGTAGATTATACGGGCAAGTTCTTGAACAATCAAGTAAGCATCCCTGCAGTCAAGTTAAGTGTCGTGAAAAATGTTGGCAAAGAAACCCATTTCGAGTTAATTAAAATTAACGAATCAAATTAGGTTTTTGTTCACAGCTCAGTCAACTGAAAATAAGAATTTTATCAGCTTTAATACATTTCTTTTAAGCTGGAAAGCTTTAATATTTGATTTACATGGTCCCCCTTTTTGCAGCTTTAATGTATTGTTATACTTTTTTAACTTTGTTTATTCGACGTCCAAAGTTTTGAGAAGCTAAATAATTATTTTAAAGTAAAATTTCTAGGCGTGATATTTTTATGAGCGCTATGTTTCGCTTGCTAAGGTAAGGAGAGACTACTATTTTACATGTGAAATAAATAAATAATGTTGCTGTCCAGACACAAACAGAGTAATACATAGACAATTTCTATTAGTTATTTAGATAGGTGCAGCAAATAAATTTATTTGTTAATGGTTGAAGTAATTCTCTTTGTGCGTTCCATTCCGGATTACCGATTTTAACAACAGATTTTTGAACCCAATCCTTGTATAACTGTGGATGGATTACATTCGTTTTAGTAAGTCCTGCATTGTTGGAATCGCCAAAACATTTACATTTTATGGAAATTTCAACAAATCCCTATTGGTTGATATATGAGTTAGTTTTTCACAAATACCGCAACCTAGTTCTCGGAAATTGCACACCACGTTTCTATAAATTCCATTTGAATTTGAATGGAAATAAAATTGTGTTGTTTATGCTTGGCAGGAAAAATTCCATTTTGCTTGCGACCGACACTTAGTTATCATTGACAAGAAACAGTGAGAACACATTTCGATTTTCTTTGCATTTAGCTCACAATCTGGTTTTATAAATTTCAAAGAGTTCCGTTTATTTGTAAAAGCACGTCAACATCAACAAGTTCATGAAAGAAAATTATATATCTTCTGTTGAAAAAAAACGTTGAATTCAAAATGTTCTTTTTATATAATAGACGGAATAGTAAAAGTAATATTGTTAAACTTCAACACAAAGAACACGGTTCTGAAAAAAATGTTATAACACTGATATTTACTAAGCTTGCAAGACTAAGGATTTTTTTTTAATGAAACTTTGGTATTATTAAATAAAGCAAGTTGCTTCAAAAAGCGGTGAAATTTTCAAATTGCTACTTGTTTTATTTTAGAAAATGCTAATCTTTAAGAAAGATATATTTATTAAGCTGGCAAAACTCATGAATTGGCAGTTTTTTCATCAAACCTAACATTATATTTGGGGCCAAATGTTTTTTACTGAAAATCAAAAATTTTCAATTGCTATTTGTTTTAGTTTCAAATATATATTTTTTACAGGAGAGAAGAAAGTCAGTAAGATCTAAAAGTATGAATTCTATACAGTTTAAATACCGATATTTAGAAGTTGGTAGCAAAATTGAGGATTTCGGCAGATTTTTATGAACCTTTCAGCATGTTTACCGAAAGGTGTCATAGGAAAATGGTGAAAATTACTAAATGTCGCTTAATTTCGTTTGGAAGACGCTAGTTTTTAATGAGAAATCGCATTTATTTAAAAGAATCTATAGCAATGGATATTTACTTCTTTTGACTGAAAAATTTACTACAAGAAAACAATAATTTTTCTGTGTCTTTCAGGATCTTTTTTAGTATATAAGTATTTTCTAAGGATTGTGATATTTTAAGCTGACAAAATTTAGGATTCTGAGCTATGTTTATGTTCAATTTTACCGAATTATCAAAAGTAATTTATCGTAGTTTATAAAGCGTGGAACAAAAGAGAATTTTTGGTTTTCACGTAGAAAACTTGATGTGATACAGACAGAAATTCCAATTGATTTCTTTAATAAATACGCTAAATTCATGTTGTATCGATTAATTTTTCATCAGAGAAATATCTATTGATTATCCTTCGCGGCATAATATTAAACTTTAAAAACTTTCTAACCAAATATTATTTTTCCATGCAGGACGCATGCAGCCAACGTTTCGGTTTAATACGACAAAACGAATGTTCTTAATATGTAACTTAATTAATCATCGTTGGGGCCACGAGTGAC